TGCATGTATGTCTTTATACACCTGATAAGCCTCTGTTAGTGACTGTGACCTTGGTAACAATCCATGATAGATATCGCCAGATAATTCCATTATATGCACATTTTTAGTTTATCAAATCAAGTATATGTTCTTCTATATACTTCTTAAAACTTAGAAAAGAACATACCAGAAGTTTAAAGTTTCTGGAAACTGGTCAACACTTATATGTTCTCTTTACATTTCACACAGCATTTTCTACCACTTATGTGCTTACCTAATAGTTTTTAATCAAAAAATTTCTCATACAATGCAGTGCCACTGTTCAAAATAAGTGTTAATATCAGTTTATTTAATCTTGTTTTGGAAAAAAAAGAACATTTTTAAAAAGAGAAGAGAAAAAAATATAAGCGCAGATGAATGAAGGAGAGGGTGATGCCCAGTGTACATGGGGAGGTGAGGATGAATGAGAATCAAAGTAGATATAATAATACTAATCTTGTATTCAGCCATATGTGCACACTAAAAATCAAGGAGCTGTGAAAAATGCTTGAACTGCATTGCATATATGTCACATGTATGTATTAATGTTAAGGCTCCTTCAAACATAAATCTTTCACTTTACCTGAGAAGGGGGATTTAACTGAGCCACATTACAGAGAGGAATTCTGTTTTGACTTTTTTCCCCCTGATAATTGTATTTGTTTCACAGACTTAGTTCAAATCCAGATGGCAGATGAGGACAGTGTACAAAAAATTTTTCCTTGTAAACATTGCTAGCAGAGATTGAACATCAGCTGACAATCCAGAGAAAAAGACCATTTCCTTCGGTCTAATTACAGTCCGAACAAGTGGTTCAGTGTGAACTATGAAAACTTGAGATATTCCTTCTTTCACATGCAGAATTGCTTTTGCAAAATGAAAACTAGCATCTGTTAGTGGTTTTTAACCTGCACTAATAAGTAAACCTCAAATATTTTCCTCATCTGTGTCAGACTAGTAAAGCATATTTAACTTCAACCAAGTGCATCGAGTGGATAAATTAATCTCTTTTTCAAGCTACCACAGAAAAATGCAAAGGACTTAAATCCATCCCTAGCTTTATCTGCTCTAAGATGCAATGTGTTCTAGCGATTGGCACAAACGCTCATACAGTAGTAATAGAGATTTAGACACAACATGACTGACACAAACAAGGTTAGCCTTTTCGGAGACTTACATATTCTCTCCACTCCCTTTTCACTGCTGTGAAGGGAGAAATTGGATTAAAGTCAATACATCCTGCACCTCCAGCAAAAAAATTCGTCCCCTGGCTGTCATAAATGGAACATAACTCTTAATCACCTGTTTCTTGCCTCTGTTATAGGAACTGGGTAAGAGCACAGCCCTATTACTCCATGCTTTAATTACCTCCAAAAGGTAAAAACCATTCTTGAGAGCAACAGAAAAACTGGAATTATCAAAACTTTTCCATGTGGTAGGCCAGGGCCTTATCATATATGGGGTTGAATTGCAGAAGAGCTGAACCCCATTTTCCCCTGAAACTCGTAGAAGCAGCTTTTGCTGAGTGTCTTGAGAATTAGATCGCTGCATTGTAAATTATTCTGCAATCCTTGATTATTTAAGTAAAATCATTCTTTCTTTGCTGCTCAAGAAAAAAGTGATGCACTAAACAATGGTCTGAAGGAAAACATTTCCCAGGACATAGCAGCAAAGGCATCAGGATTCTCCCTGTCTTCCAGAGCACTGCATGGGGATCAAATGACAAATATGCACTGCACCTCAGGGAGCAGCAAGGACCACTGTCCCCTCAGCAGCTGAGGGCAAAGGGGAGCAGGGGCCCAACACAACAGGCAGAGCCAGTGCTGGCAGCAGGAACCACCAGCATGACAAGGAGAAAGCCCAGTCAGTGACAAAAAACTCTCGGGACAGAGAGAGGGCTAGAGACGGCACAACACGCCTAAACAAGGAGTGGAACAAGACTAACATGTTCACATCAGGAAAAGACTGAACTCGCAAACCTGACCTTAAATCAGACCATTTCAGGGGTGAGTGCCTCAGAGGGGACAGGTCAGGGCCAATAAAGCCTATTAGCATGTTCTGCACTCTGCCACTCTTAAGATATTCTTGCTACCTCTTACTGCAGTGGTAAGGGAAGGATTTTGGAAAAAAACCCAACAACGAATAAGCCCAAAAACCCAATTTCTGTGTCTGTTTCCTCTTGAGCTTAATGTTTTGTATTGTTCATCTTCGTTCTGCTGAGGACACAAGGTCCATAGCTCATAGAACTTAAAAGAAAAACACAGACTTAGCCCTTTAAAAAAGAAAAGCTCAAATGAAAATAGTCCTTCAGGTCATCTCTCTAAGGCCTAAATTATTTGAACAGCTGTATATCAAAGCTAATAGAATTGAGTCCTTTAGTTAGTTGTGAAACATTTTAAGTAAAAGTCCGAAAATGTCAAAACATTTAATATTTAGTCTATACAAGTGCGGATTCAATGGCATGTATGGGGAAAATATTTCTTAATTTCTCTCTATAACAACTGCATGCACAGCAGCTTTTCCTCTAGTTGAATTTTTTGACAATTAATTTCCAGTGAGAATAGTTTGACTGGTGATAACATCGATGGGAATGGCATTGTTATCAAGGGTTCAGGAACTTACAGTCTCATTTTATGTCTGACTGGGTATGAGCAGTCTCAGGTTACAGTTTAACTGTAGTTATGGACTGTATAGCTTCAGTTTTTTAAGCATGAGTTTAGGCCATCACTAATTTTTACAGCACCATCATTGTTACAGAGGATTCTTGGAAGAACATGTAGAATGTGAGATGGTTCCCCATAATAAATATTATCATAGGTGCTGAGATTTAAAAGACATTTCAGGTGTGTTTTGGTTTTGATGTGTTTTCCTCTTCTAACGTTCCATTTATAGCCCAGATCAAATTAGAAATACTGGCCATAACCCATATTTGAAATCAAAGGAACAAATATAATGATTATGCCTTTTAAAGGAGGGATCTTGGCATAGTACTGTGTTCTCCTCTTGATGAAAAACAGCTGAAAGATGCCAGATCCCCAGCAATGGATCTGTAAGAGAGAATGATTGCCAGGAAGAGAAGGTAAAGGTGCCTGCCACCTTCCATGAGGTGGCAGGCACCTTTGCCACCTCTTTATAACTAGTTTCTTGTTTGGAAGCTGAAGCAGAACAAAAGCAAAAATTATATTTGCCATCTTTACTTTGAGGATTTTGACACACCCAAAGAAAAAATTCACTTTTGTTGCAGCCATTCTTTGAATAATAAGAAAATTTCTGCCACTTTCTCACTTCCACAGTTAAAACCAGTTATACTATGGCATTAAAGAGTCACAGAATCACTGAATATTCTGAGCTGGAAAGGGACTCAGAAGGATTGGTGAAGCCCAACTTCTGCATGGGACAGTCCAAAGAATCACAACATGTAACTGAGAATATTGTCCAAATACTTTGTAAGATTTGTCATCTTGGTGCTGTGACCACTTCCCTGGGGAACCTGTTCCAGTGCCCAGCCACTATCTTTTGGCTATCTGGTGGGCGAAGATACTTTTTCCTGATATCCAAACTAAACCTCCCCGACATAAGTTCAGCCCATTTCCTCACATCCTGTCACTGGTCACCAAAGAGAGGAGATCAGTGTCTGTCTCTCCTCTTCCCCTCACCAGGAAGGGGTAACTGCAGTGAGGTCTCCTCTGCTCCATGCTGAACAGACCGAGTGACTTCAGCTGCTCCTCATGAGGCTTCTCCAAAGCTTTGTTCTCCTCTGAATGCTCTCTTACAGTTCAATGTATTTCTTAAATTGTGGTGCCCAAAACTGCCCACAGGACTCAAGGTGAGGCTGCCCCAGTGCAGAGCAGAGCAGGACAATCCCCTCCCTTGCCTGGCTGGTGATGATGTGTCTGGTGCCCCCCAGGACACTCTTGGCCCTCCAGGCTGCCAGGGCACTGCAGACTCATGTTCAGCTTTCCATTGACCAGGTCCCCAGGTCCCTTTCTGCAGTGCTGCTCTCCAGCCTCTCCCTCCCAGCCTGTCATACATCCAGGGTGCCCATTTCAGACGCAGAATCTGTCACTTGTCTTTGTTAAGCTTCATACATTTGGCAATTGCCCAGACCTATGATTTGTTGAAAACTCTTTGCAGGGCCTCTCTTTAAGAAAGCAAGCAGCTCCTCCTAATTTTATATCATCTACAAACTTGCTTAGTATCCCTTTGAGTACTGCATTCAATTTGTTAACGAAGATATTGAAGAGAGCTGGGCCTAAGATGGAGGCCTGCAGGGCCTGGATGGCAGCAGCACCCATTCAGTGTAACCCTTGCACCTGACCCATGAGCCACTTGCTCACCCATCACATTGTGTTTTGGTGCAGCTGAAGGGTGGACATTTTGTCCAAGAGAACATCATGAGAAACAATATTAAAAGCTTTGCTGAAATTCAAGAGTGCATCAACTGGCTTCCCTTGGTCAGCTGGGTGGGTTACCTTGTCATAAAAGGAAATCAAGTTTGATAAGCAGGACTTTCCACTCATGAAGTCATGCTGACTAATGACTGTGTTGTCCTTCAGGCATTTTTCAATATCCCCCACAATAATCTTCTCCATAACTTTACCAGGCACTGAGGTGAGACTAACAGGCCTGTAAAAATTAAACCTATCTGAGTTTTTCCTCTGCTGTGCACTATGACTCAGAAGTCAACCCCCAAAATATTTCACACAATTAGAGAGAAAGATTTACGCCGCAGTTTGAAGGAAATGTAAATATAATTCTTCGTTACCTTTATTCACACAAAATTATCTGTTTATAATGAGGTAACAAAAATAGGGACAGAGCAATGAAGAAAAAAGTAACAAGATAGAAATATCCTTTCAGTTCTATGGAAATTCCCTTCCCTTCCCTTCCCTTCCCTTCCCTTCCCTTCCCTTCCCTTCCCTTCCCTTC